CGGCCGCCTCGCTCGGGGAGGCGACGCGGGGGGTACGGGGGAGGAGGGGAGGGGGAGGAGGAGCCGGGGCGCGCCCGCCGGCGGCCGGGGGCGGCAGGAGCGGGGGAGGGCGGCGGCGGCGGGAGCGGGGGAGGGCGGCGGCGGCGGAGGGAAACCCTAGCAGGAGCCGCTCGTCCTGGCGGTATCTGAACTTGTTTTTTGACAGGTCCAATAGCTGGAGTTGACGAAATTGTAAAATCTGTGAGGGTATGATGCCATCAAACATGTTTGATGACAGTAAAAGAAATCTTAGTTCAGGCAAGCTCTTACTTATCCAAGAAGGTATTCCACCTGAGAAACTATTGCCTCCCAGATCTAGAGTGATAAGTTTCTTGCTCTTCTGAAGAACCAAGGAAAGGCTCCACTGAAATGGTTATTCGCTAGGTGTAGAGACTGAAGATTCCGGTTAGGCGTCGCCGAGAACGGAACTACACCACTGAGCGAGTTGCTGGACAAATCCATGAATTCCAAATGCCACATGTTCCATAAACACTTGGAGTTGGAGAGATCTCCGTTTAAGGCATTGTTTGATAGGTCCAGAAGTGATAACCTAGTAGAGTTGCAGAGGAATACCTCACCATCATCTGTCAGAAGTGTGCCATACAGATGGTTATTACTGAAAGTTAACCCCCGAAGTTGTTCTGGAGGCTTGCCAAAACAAGCCATTAGGTCTGCAACAATTTTGTTTTCTGTGAAGTCAATGTGCTCCAGGGTCGTGCAGTTCTGAAAGGTCAGGCTGCGAAGGCTTGTAAATCTATTGTATGCAGCAAGGACCGTAACCAGTGCCCCTCCTGTGCAAATGGACGGCGGGAAGAGCCCAGAGAAGCTATTTTTTGCGATGTTGATATAAGACAGCCTGCTGCTATTCCCGAGTTCGTGGATGATGTTGCCTCCGAGCAGATTTTCTGACAGTAACAAGCGGTTTAGCTTTACCAAACGAGAGACCGTATCTGGTATCTGGCCATGTAAATAGTTCTGCGTCAGGTCCATGCGGTGTAATTCTGTCATGTTACCAAATACCAATCTCCAGCGGGATGCGCCCTGTCAGACTGTTGTTTCTCAGGTTCAGCAACCGGAGCTTCTTCAGTCTTCCGAATGTTAGCGGGATTGATCCAGTCAAATTGATTGAGTAGAGAGCGATCTTCGTCAAGCTTGTCAAGTTACCAATCTCTTCAGGCAGCGTCGCACCATCAAGACCCAAACCTCCCAGTTGCAGTTCAGTGAGCTGCTTCAGCCGGCTAATGCCACGGGGAATTGTACCAGTTACATACCAGTTGCTGCTGATCTGTAACCGCGCCAGGCTTGTCAGGTCACCGATCCCTTCTGGAATGTTGCCATGCAGACCGTTCTGAAATAGGATGAGCTTCTTCAGGTTGGGGAAAGCCGAGAAGTCGAACTTGTCAAGTGTGCCATTCAGACTCGCACCGCTGATGTTGAGGTTGACGATGGTGCTCCTGGCAGAGTTGCAACTGATGTACATCCAGTGGCAGACGCCGGTGGAGTTGGCCAATGACCATGAGCTTAGGGACTCATCGGCGCCGTCCAGGCTAGCCTTCCAACTCAGAAGAGCTTCAGCTTCACGCAAAATGTCGCCAGTCACCGGTGTGACGACGGCACAGAGTAGAAGACAGGTGCAAGAGAGTAGGAGGACCTTCATGATGGCTTGGGTCTGCCTAGTGCTTTGCTGCACCACAGAATATAAACCTATACGGAAGTAGTCGGCCAGCCGGCCGGCCGGCCGGCCACCCATTGGGATAGTTATTTACTGAACGCTTCAAACCAAGTATATAAGTCCTTATCTTGGTGATACTTTGTTTATTGAACATATAAAGGTCAAGGCATATGCTAGGTACAACGAAGCCATCCACGTCGCCCTGAATCGCGATGAATAGTGCGAGCGAGCGAGAGCAGCGGGCAGCGAGCGAAGAAAAGAAATAGGAGAAGTCAGGGAGAGAAAAAAGGAAAAAAAACCTGAATAGCCAGTTTAGGAAATGTATGAAAAAAATCAGGCTGTGTAAAAAATGAGTTAGTTCTTGACAATATTTTTTGCAAGGTTATGCACATATCCTTTTCGCAAAAATGCTGAATTATAGGTACAGTAATATGTGTCGTCATGAGTGCTGAATGTACCACATTATTTTTCTGTCAAATAAGTGATGGTGCAAGCGTAGACAGTCATGAAGATTTTAATCTACAAATTGGACTGACTACCTGGGCTTAATGTCGTTGATCTGCAGAGTGCGGATTGGGGCTTCTGCACTAGGCAGAGCACCATGGCCTGATAGGATTTCAGCACCCTAAAAACAATCAGGCAATTCAGGGTTTTCTGAACCTGTGATGCTCTGTTTTTTGTGTACCAAGTAATTGTGAACGAACACTTTTATGTCATTCAAGGTTAGAAATTGTGCTTTTTGGTAGCGACGGCAGTGGATGCAGTTATTTCAGTAGTGGGTCGGTATGAGCAGCTGTCTCCTACCTCCCTTCCTTTGATCTTGTCTGGTGGGCCATTCTATGCACAGACGTTTGTGCTTCCCGGACTGCGAGGGTCGGAGCCGTGGCTCGACATGTTGCCACCGGCCTGCTTGTGGCGGAGCATGGCGGGAGTCGGGGCGGCGTTCTGGTCTATAGGAGAAGCACGGGTGGCAGCTGCAGCTGAGCTTCTATGTAACATGACTCCGATGAATCCTCTGCCGCATCCTATAAGGCGTTCAATGAAAACCCAAGCTGCTGCAGTGGCAGATTACGCTCTGATTGCATGCTGAGCCTTGTTGATTGCTTCTCTTTTGGTCCCTTTTCATTTGCTTGCTCTATGATTCGTTATAATAGCATGCTAGATGTTCTTAGATTCAATCCAAAAAAGCTTTGTTTGTGCCAAGGTATGAACTAAAACATCAATATCAGTCGAACCTAATCATGTCAAGGTCTAAATTATTGCCTATCTGCCAATATAATAGCATGCTAGATGTTCTTAGATTCGATCCAAAAAAGCTTTGTTTGTGTTCCTGTCAATTTTAGACGTGCAAGTAGCTTGATAATTTGCTTTCCTTTTTGTTCAGTACATACATACAGTTACACCATAAGCTCATCAATTTGCTCTGATTAAATTAGCAAACCTGAAGCATGTAAGGATTCACGTGAGTGAAAGTTCACTTTCTTTCAGGAGAAAAGAACTTTTAGTTAATACCCGTAGAATTTGGTAAGGCCAATAATTATATCCTTTCATAATCATCAGGTTTGCTACACTTAGTCATAATAAAGTATTCTATTTTTTTCGTTTTTCACTGTGGCATTGCAATGGATATTGTTCTTTTACTAGCAGTGTGCTGAGTGTGCACGCAAAGTACAGGTCATTTTTAGTGGCAAGGGTTGAGTTTTACCATAATGTTAATATGTTGAAGAACCTTATAAAATATATAATTATATATTTGACACTTTTTATACTGATTCAAGTGAAAAATGTCATAATTCTAACAGATATTTGCATCTGCACCAAGTGCGGCATGCATTCATCCTCATCCTGTCCTGAATGTACCATGTACTCTGTATTTAGAAAAGACTAGGAAGTTAAGAATACCATGTGGCACCGGAGCAGCCTAAGGGCCATTAGTTGGGAATAAGATGCAATGGGTATCTGAGTTTAAGTGGTAGCTTCGCACTTTGCAGTATGGTGATGTCACTCTTGGTGTGATGGTCACTCATCGAGCGTGTCAACTACATACAACAGCTCTATCCAGCAAATTTTCTTTTGATTTTGCTTTATTCTATTGATCAGATTTGCCAAGTCATTTTTCCTTAAGAGGTATTTAGCATTGCCAAATTTATATATTTACCTAAATTTAATCTTGACCCGATTTGCTCTGGTCAATACATGCATGATGCCTTTTCTTTTCTATATACTGGATGCAGGGTTAGTTTACCTTTTAGACTCTGAGTTAGATTAGCCGCACCTGTGTATATGTTTGATAGATGAGCTGTGTCAGGTTGTAGGTACTGCTGAGCACAAAGCTATAGTTGGATATAATATTGGATTTACAATCATGTGCAAGAGTTCCAGTATATTTCAAATTTTGTTTCATAGAGAAGCTCCATCATTGGAACCAGTATATGTCTGCTAATAAAACCCTTTTGTATGATGATGGTTTTTAGGAATTGATATTCCAATCAATCTGCTGATGCGGTATTTGTGGGAGATGAAGAGTACCGACGGGTTCAAATCTAGGGGCCGTCTTTCTCGAGCTACATTCATGCTTCACAGCAGTTCACCTTCCCACAATTGCTCAGGCTGCACATCTGCTGGCTTATGTGAGTATGGGTGCGTTTATCTTGCAGTTCTTTCTAACTGAGTATTATTGCAGATTCCAAAATAGGACTAACTTCTGCTTGTTTTCTAATCTATTCATTGTACCTCAAGGTGAACCAATCTATCCCACGAGAGCCTATTTTTCTTAATTCTACAATAGAGGATGCCGTGGTTTTAGTTTTTTGCTTTAATGTGGGCTGGTTAGGAATTAGTTTTTCTTGAAAGCTAATGCTGTTGCACAATGTCTTTTTTACCGTTTCAATTTTATTGGGAAAAAAATGATGCTTTTCATAAATTGTGCTAATTTGAACATGAGTTGTGCGTGTTGATCTAAATGTATTCGAAAAATGGTCTGGTTGTGGAACATCTGGTACACAATTTTTTATTCAAGATGGAACAAGTTTGTTATCGATATTCCTGTAAATGGTTTGTATAGTTTGTATTGTTATTAAGCAAACATATGGTTGTATGGTTATCGGATTTCAGAGGTCCTGCGACGGCATCAAGATAGTCTTTTTCTTTTTGAATTCCTGATATACCATTTAACTTCACCAAACAGAACAAAGATAGCTATGAAAAGGAGCGTGTATAATTGAAATACTTGTGTGATGTCTACACTGTTGTCCTCATATATCCGCTATTCATGTCAATCCAGTAGACACGGTTTTGTTATTATGTGCTGATATGCTCTGCAATTTAGTAACAATAATCTTGCATAATGCCCTCATATATCCGCTATTCATGTCAATCCAGTAGACACGGTTTTGTTATTATGTGCTGATATGCTCTGCAATTTAGTAACAATAATCTTGCATAATGCAGACTAACATGGCCAGATGGTATACTGCATTGGGTTTTCCCTTTCGGTTAAGATTTCCATGTGTTCCAATCTGCCCCTAAATATATTTATGTTCACTCTTTCAATACTTACCTTACTCTCGCCCCTTGCGCCATCGGCGCAACGGGTCATCTAGTATGAAGAACAGCCTGCAAGCATACAAATGTACATTCGAGATGGCACAAGGATTATAAGAAGGTTATAACAGTGAAGGACAGGGGATTTGTTTTGATACTATACTACGCAAGTTCCTTTTCTAGAAAATTGACGCATGACTCTCCAGGTTTCCAGTCTGAATATTTGAAAATATATAATGATAGTCAAAGTTTTGAATGTTTAACTAGGCCCTATGACAGACCATGTAAACTCCGCATGGTCAAGATAAATTCTGAGAAAGAAGATTGACACAACTCTCAGTTAATGGCATCTCCCATAGGGTCTATCTACAATTCATAACTCAATGGCCCAGCTCCCTAAGCAAGCAGCGGAAAAAAATGCAAAGGAAAATGAATATTACATCACAAATGTTCTTCAAGATCTTCCATTTTCTTAAATAATTTAGGGAACAGAGTTTTCCTAACCCATGAGAAAATCTACAACTTTGTATTCATATCTCATAAGATGTAAGCAAGTGGCAGTAATATCCTAAAATACACAACAATGATGATGAGGTATAGTCATCTACCATGAATTTGATCTAAAGTTGTTCTAGTGCTGAGCTACATTATACAAACAGAGAACTGACAGTGATGTGATTAATATGTATCCACATTCTATACATTTTTTCTAGCAAAACTCACTACCGAAGCAGCTAGTCCTGAAGTTGATTCCATCTATGAACAAGTGAGTAGACCTTCCATGCAAATGCCTGCGGGAATGTCACCTTCCCGCTCTACTGTCTCCAGCACCGCTCGGTAAAGCTTTGTCCATGAGCATCCATCGCCTGTCCCAACTACATCCCAGAAAGTTGGATTGGGGCTCGGTGGGTATGCAGCAACTACTAAGTTAGTAATGCTGCCCACTTTGACAGCCGGCCGGGGGAAGTCCAATGCCAGGTTGTCGACTTTATGCTCGTAAATTTTCCCGTTCCTGTCGACTTTGTACCTGGATGTGCCACTGAAGCAGCCATATGATTCCCACGGGACACGCGGTGTGCCCCACAGTTCCCACCGGACAACTATCGAGGTTTCTGTTAGTTGCCAAATGCGTGATACGTCGAGCCCAATTTCACTGAATAGTAGACGTCCGTGGAATCTGAGAGCCCAGAAGATTGTTTTGTAGTTGTCAATCCCATGGAAAGTGTTCAGCGGATCAACAAATGTGATGTCTTCGCTGCAATGGGACGTAAAGAATGTTTATAGTCTCCATTTTACAAGAGTGTGCTAGAGTGCATCTACAACGAATAGAAGTTTGCAAGAAATGAAATATATGCAGTTAGCATTCCTGTCAGGCATAACCCGAACCATACTCGGTTGTTTACTTGGTTGTATTAGTACTAGGTCACATACTGTCGCAATTGCTGATGATGGACTGTCACTGTCACTGCCCTCTTAGTGGCCTTAACCTCTTGTAAATTTTTTAAGCCAGTTCATCAATTGATTCAATTCCAATCATGAATACGATATATTAGCAGTTAATAATGGGATAATAGAACAAATGCCTATCACATCCAGGACTCTGAATCATAACTCGTATGAGTGGCAAGCTCTATTAATTTCTGCACGAATAGCCATTTTATTAACACTGAAATTGGTACTAGCTGCACATCACAATTTCAGTTCAAGTTTCAGCTTTAATTCCTGGAACTGCGGAGCTATGATTTGGATGTAAGATGTTTCCATGACTGATTACCAACGAGTTTTTTAGATAACGAATCAGACAAAACACACCAGTAATAGTATTATTTAAAGAAAAAAAAAGGCACAAAAACAGTCATACAGGAAAAGGGAAGGCACTCACCGGTAGATGTCGTAGTTGGGTTCCCGGAGGAACACGGCCGGCAGGTCGTCCCGCAGCGCGCGCACCGCCGCCCCAAGGTTGAGGTAAAAATCCGACCTTCGCGGGTCCCCGCCGCCGCCGCCGCCGCCGCTCGCAGCCCTGTTCCTGGTCTCGGCGGACTTGGCCGTGGGGGCTTCTTGCTGCGAGGCGCTGAGGAGGAGCGGGAGGTTGAGGTGGGTCGGCGCCGCGGCCTGCGCCGAGCCGGCCCCGTGGAGCCTGCCGCCTCCGTGGCTGGGCAGGCCGAGCTGGGGCTTGAGGGGACTGGGCGGCGGCGATCTGCAGGGAGGCGTGGTGAGCTTGGGGAGGAGGAAGGCCATGGCTTCCTGCTCTCGTATCGTGTCCCCTCGATTTTTCTCTCCGGCTGATCTCGATGTCTACCGCGGCTTGTCTTCTTCTCCTGCGGCTGCCGGCCCTAGGTTGAGGTGTTCCATGTAGAAGCTTCAAATTGGGTGCGAGAAAGCAGGGCGATTTTGAGTGGCTGCCGAGGCTGCAGCGAGCCTGTGTGGGATGGGAGAGAGACGGCCGGAGACGTTACACTGAATGCGGTTAAAAATTCCGAGTCGGCATCTTTTTTTCTGAGTCGGCATCTGGCTTTTCTTCCGAGACAAGTGGCGTTGGCCCCAAAGTTTGGTAGTTCAGGCCAGTTTGAAATGTATAGGACGTGTTTAGTTGCCTGCATGAGGCCTAACCAGGCCCGCGCGGAAAGAAAATGATTTATTTGGTTGTCTGCATACACTGTTGGGCCTGCATGGCACGATGTTTAAAGCATTCCTGGGCCTGGCTCCCTGGAAACGCTCGAATCGGCATTTTCTCCAGAGCCAGGCCCGAGCGGTGCACGTGGGCGACGGCGGCTGCACGCACGCGACCATGCTTGAGAAGCCGCGTTGCTTCCCGAAGAGCCTCACCGCCCCTCACCGCTCCCTCTCTCCACTCTCCCCCACTCTCCCAACTCTCACCGGCGGCGACGGATCGGAGGAGAGCAAGAAGACCACCAGACTCCATCACTGGTGAGCGGATCATCTCTTGGCCCGCGGCAATGGCGGTAAGCACTTTTCTGTTCGTCATGCACTACTTTTTCGCGTTTGATTCGGCGGTAGATTCGATCCACGGGGGAGAGGGGAATGGGGAATAGAGTTAGAGAAGCATGGCAGTTCATACGAGTTCATACTAGTTCATGCAAGATTGGAAGAGAGGTAGATGCAGATGGAGTAGAAGGGGGATTAGGGAATTGGGGTTACACAACAGACACTGGCTAACCGCGGCGGCCATCACCGGCGTGCGAAGCGGTCGGTCAAGTGGTTGGCCTTCATCTTCTTGTCCATCGACGTGCGGGCCGGCGGGTCGTCATCACTCTCGGAGGAGTCGGCCTGGCTCCGACGCCCCCACCGATGACCTCCGGCGGCAGGATTGCCGTCTCCAGTACACTACGCCACGGCGGTCATTAGGAGCCCAGTAGTTCTTGTACTTGGACCACCTCTTCCTTTGTTTAGCGTCATCGGAGACGACCTGATTCATGGCCCAGCGAATGATGTCGACTGCCATCGCGCCCTTCGTTGGGTTAGGAATCAGTGTCTTCAACTCTTGTGCAGTGGCCCTCATGAGCACTGCATCAGATTCCTTCTGCATGTCAGGCATGGAGAGAGTGGGTGGGTAAGTAGTGGTGGACAAGGTGAGTAAATATAGGCGCGATGGAGAGGAGGAAGAGTGACAGTCATGCCGTTTTAACTATATGCTCTTCAATAAGCCATGAACTATGTGTTGTGCCTAACTCCATGAATTGTGTGCAGATCGAGGAGAGCAATGAGATGGGCACAGAGGTGCTCCCGGCCGTTGACAACAAGGGCAAGGAGCCGGTTCATCCAATGCCCAAGGTGGTGCTGCCGCCCACCACTGAGGAAGAACCAAATACGCCAACAGTTGGCGACGAAGAGTGCATGGAGGAGCCCCCCCCAGCAGCAAGCGCCGCAACTATGGCCACTACCATGAGGAGGGTCGCCCAACTCACTTCTGCAAGGTCATCCTTGCATCGAAGCTTGAGTGCATCCCCATGCCCGTGGACTTCACCAAGCACTTCGTTCCGGTGCCGACGGAGTTCAAGCTGAGGAACAACACCCGCTGCTCCTGGAAGCTGACGGTGAAGCTGATAAACGACAGGGTGACCCTGGATCAGGGTTGGGCCACCTACGCCGCCATTCATCAGATCAAGATCAGCTACATGGTGATGTTCAAGCTCCTGACTCCCGACACCCTCAAGGTCATCATCTTCGACGACGATGACATTGAGGTGGTCAACAAGTCCGGGAAGCATGATGAAGCCTTCGCCGCCAGGGACTAGGGCCGAGGCAACTCCTTCCTAAGTACTATCGAGTCTGCTTTATGGTTTATGCGTTGAACTGTTTGAACTATCGTTATGATGTGTGGTACTATCGTTATGTTATCTGAACCATGCTGTTAAGTAGTTGATGCTCTGTTTATTCTCTGTTCTGCTTATGATGTGTGGTACATGGTTGTGCCGAAGTGTGCTAGTAACCTCACCAACTAGCCAAACAGGTTACCACACATCATGCGTTGCATACAACCAAACACCATGCCTTGGGTTTGTCCACTAACATGCAGGCAACCAAACACCAGGCAGTGTCGTTCAGCCCATGCAGGCAACCAAACAACTTGCAGATGATGCATTTGAGGCTGCATTTGCATAGCCAGACTGAGTTGAGAAGGCTATGCAATGCAGCTACTGTAGACTACGGCAACCAAACATGCCCATAGGAACTAAACAACTCAAAAAAGTATTGTCATCACCCTAAAAAAAGTATTGTCATTCGATTCATATTACTTATCGCATGCTTTTGCTAAAAAGAAAACTTGTCGCTGCTAGAACTGAACTGAAATGTGCGTGGGTGTGTGTAACGCCCCGGATTCTATGCGCCAGGTGTCTGCTAGTTATTTGCTGTCGTTGCCATGTCATTTGCTCGCGTGTTGCATTTTATCATGTCATCATGTGCATTGCATTGCATACGTGTTAGTCTCATGCATCCGAGAATTTTTCCCCGTTGTCCGTTTTGCAATCCGGCACTCCTATGCCCTATCGCGTTCCCCTTTTCGTCTCTCGTTGTGAGCGGGTGTTAAACGTTCTTGGAATGGACCGAGTCTTGCCAAGCAGCCTTGGTACACCACCGGTAGACCGCCTGTCAAGTTTCGTCCCATTTGGAGTCCGTTTGATAGTCCAACGGTTAACCGCGTAGCCCGAAACCCCTTTTCTCTTGCAGCCCAACACCCCTTCAAAATGGCCCAATAACCCATCCTAACCCCCTCCATGCTCTTGGTCGTTCGATCACGATCGTGTGGCCGAAAACCACACCTCATTTGGACACTCCTAGCTCCCTCTACCTACAAATAGGTGCCTCTCCCCCGAGATTCTCGCAGTCCAAACCCTAGCCTCGCTCCTCCCCGCTGCCGGACATGTCCGCCTCCGCGCCAGACGTGTCCACCGTCGCCCAGCCACGTCGCCCGACCTATCACCGCGCGCCACATCACCCCTGCCGCCTCCTGGACCAATCTCCGCCCGCCACGTCAGCGCGCCGCCTCTCTCTCTCCCCCCGCGTCCGTCGCGGCCTGCCAGGCCCGCATCCGGCCCCCGCGGGCCCAGCACCGCCGCCCGCCGCCCGGGATCTCCCCCGCCGCCGCCAAGCCTGTCCCCGCTGCCGGTG